CCTTTTTTTTTTTTTTTTTTTTTTTTCTGGTTTTAATTACAACGGGACGAAACTCGGCGACTTCATTCGCAATTTTAATGGAATGTTCCGAAATGTTGCGAGCGGATATTTGTATAAAAATACAGACAATTGTTTTTCACAAAGTTTGTCCCTCTTTTTCTTTTTCTTTTTCTTTTTCTTTTATTAAGAAAGAACGAAATTTTTGGATTTTTTTCAATATTTATTTATCGTATTTTATATAACACCGATATATCTGGTATATTTCTTTCACTATATTTTTATACCTTTTTATACCTTTTATACCAAGTTTTTATACCTTTCATATTCATTCTACTTACTATATGTATCATTCATTCAATTTTGCATTTTATTCCATTTGATTTGCATTAGATAACCGAGAAAATTCTTCGTTCGTTTTATGATAGAAAAATATACAATAGGATATAGAATCATTTATAAAAGCTCAATTCAAAAATTTCTTTCTTTCTTCAATTCTCAGATTATTATATACAATATTAATATTAATTCGAACACTTTCGAAGGATTGATTCTATGGATCGAAATAAAAAGAAAAATTGGTATACAAAAATATCGATCGAGGCTTGTTTATTAAGTTATAAAGAATTTAAATTTTCGTTAGATGAAGCGAGACGGTGTGACGAAGAGGGAGCGATCTCTCTCCATCTCTGTCTTATTTAACTCAAACTTACTTAATAACTCAATAAATAAGTTTCAATGGCAGTCTTTGTATATTGTATTACATATAACTTTTGTGTTTTTTTTGATTTTTAGAATCGATCTTTTAAAGAATATTAATATCTTGTATATATATAAAACTACATCTCCAAAACTAAAAAAAAAAAAACTAGATAGAAAGAATAAAAATAATTTTAATATATAAAAATTTATTTTCTAAATTTTTTGTATCCTTTTCTATCATAAATTTTCTTGATATCTCCCAATAAAAAAAAAAAAAAAAAATGCGTGAAACACACTATATTCGATTCGATTTATATTTCCATAAATTAGAAAAACAAAAACCTTGTTTCTCAACAACTCGATAAAAAAAAATCGACAAGTCCGCATAACGAATGACACGTAAAAATGGAATGGCACACATTCCTTTCCTAGCCGTTTCGAGATAGAGAAGACGGCCCACGTACGCATGCTACCACTTTAGAAAACGATGATGGATGTGACGAAACAAACGCCCCTACGATAGATCCATCTTCGCTGGTTCACCTCTCTTCTTAAGCAATGTATGCCCTCCTACCACTTTTCCAACCATTCTTTCGATCTGACGTGCACGTTCGACAAACCGGGTACCGTTTGATTGATGCTCGATTCGTCGAAGGAATCGCATAATGCGAATGCGCGAGTGTTTTACTCGATCGGTAAAATTTTATTGGATCTCTCTTTTGCCGATTTATTTATCGACGGATTCGAAATAAAAGATATCGCGTGTATTCATTACGATTTCACTCGATGAATCGAGATTTTCGTTTCACTTTATTTTATCTTTTTGGAGAAATTAAAATCGATAAAATTTTTATCAGTTTTTCGATTTAGCCCGAATAAATAAAAGATCGTGTTCAATTAAATTGAAGGATATATTCATTTTTATAAATACAATGTAAATTACGATTTTGTAATGACATCTTTCTAACTTAAAAATATTCATCTACGCTTATTTTATCTTAGAAATTTTTGATTGAAATTTTTTTTTCATTTCTCTGTATATGTATAGGATATTCCTACGTGGATGCAAATGGAATTTTGCAAACGGTGACTTACACGGCAGACGATCAGAATGGATTCAGAGTGCGGGCCAGTAACTTGCCACAGCCTCCTAAGAACGATCTTCAGACGATACAAGACACACCGGAAGTGGCCGCGGGGAAGAAGAATCATTTGGAGGAGTTGCAGAAGTCGCAGTTGGGGGATCCATCGAATTACCAATCGAACATTCTCTCTTACAAAATTCTGCCTTCTTACTTCAGCTTTGCACAGTTGACGAAGGACGACGAGAAAAATTTGGCTGCTCAAGAAATCTCGGTAAGTGCAAGAACAATATTTTATAATATTTCGTATAATATTTCAAATTTCATTTTACATTAAGCTAAATAAATCTTCAAAATAAACCTTATTCTATGTTAAATGCAAATGAAAAATAATAGTATATAATGTTACATTTCTAAAATTCTAAAATAAATCTTTTTTTTTTACGTTGAAAGGAAAAATTTTAACAAATGATTTAAAATCGTTCCAAAAATTTTCACTTGCTTCACCACCATAAGTTAATTTTTAAAATTTTCATTTCACGGACAGAAAAATTGAAGTACAGCCGAGTGAAATTCGATTTTATTAACTTAAAACCGGTTACAGGAAACAATAGCCGCATGTTAACATGTATTTGCGAGGGATCGGCCCGCGGAGCGGTTTCCGCCATTGGCCGCAAATTCGTATTTACCTCCACGCGCGTTGGATATTTTATTAACGTTGCAGAGAATACTAATATCGTCGCAATTCCGTTTAATCTTCCTCGATTAACGATTGGAAAATTTCAATTTCGAGCAATAATCTCGTGAAAAAAATTTTTCAAAGAAAAGCGAAATATTTTTCAAGAATAAACTTCTCTAAGTAATTTCGAATAAGATTCATTTTATTCGCGAAGAAATTATATACATATAAATTTAAAAAAAGGAATACTGTGAAATTAGAAAATTTTTCTCATTCTTGAACACAAGAATAACGGGTATAAATTATAGTAACAAGGCTTAAGAATTTTCCAATTCAATTTTCCCCACGATGATCATTTCCTCCACACAAAGAAGCAAATAAGTTTAAAGAAAATAAATCATTCTATAAACAAGACAATTTCCATTCTACCCCATACAAAGCTTGAAGCATCTCTCGAGTGATCATTTCTCCACTGAAACCACTGAAACCCCCTTCCCTCGTTTTTCTTTCAGCAAACCACGAAGAATCCATTCCTCCTCTCGAGATCCGAGGCAGAAAGGATCGAGGTGCCGAAACCGGACCCCAACCTCTCCAAGATATCGTCCCTCGCAACGATCTCGACCTCGTCATCGTCATCGCCTCAATCTGGCCAACAGCGGAAGGACCAAGGACACTCGTCCCAAGAAAATCCCTTGCGGCTCAACAAACTCGTGCCACTGGACACGATTCAAAGGCCCGTGACCTTGCCCGCCCCCTACGTACTTCCAGTTTTGCCGTTGCACAGACTGTTGCACAGCTCCCTTCACCACACTCAAGATTCGTTGGGCCAATACGACTACACTTACACCGGGGATTCGAGCGCGAAAACCGAGTCTAGATCGTTGGACGGGACGACAAGGGGTGCTTACAGCTATATCGATCCGAATGGGGTTTTACAACAGGTTCATTACGTGGCCGATCATAATGGATTCAGGGTCATGGCCACCAATCTGCCGGAAGCTAAGTAATAAATCAATGGGGAAACGATTTGATTTGATAGTCGACAGAGGTCGCTTTTTATTCCGAGGGGAATTTATCTCTTCTTATTTTTTTTTTTTTTTCTTGATCAGATTGAACATTCTCCTTTGAAATTTTACGTACACTCTTGCGGCATTGTATTAAAAAAAAAAGGGGGTAATTTAATTAAGAAGAAAAGATAGTGTAAATGGAAATTTTCTTTTTTTTTTTAGGTTATGTTCGAGGGTTATGTTCTTTTTTATCGATAGAGTGCGAACGTTTATTTTCTTGGGAGTGATTACTTTGAAATTGAAATATTTTCTATTGGAATTTTGTGTATGATTATATTTAAAAAAGCTGATAGATTTAGCAAGAAGAAAGGGGTTATATATTTAAATGAGATGAAGAAATTTTCTTCTTGTTATTTCGAGATTCTTTCGATGGAATATTGGAGGTTGGAATACTTTCTTTTGAATTTTTATGAATAAGTTTAAAAAGATAAGAGTGGAATATTGATGGAATTATTTCACAAAACTTTTCTTAATGTATAAAAAAATGCTTTAAATAATATTGAAGCAATATTGAAAATCATATTGCACATTGTATTTTCTATAATTTTTATATAAAAAAAATTTGCAATAATTCTTGAATAATTAAAAAAATATCAAAGATATAATTATTACTTAATTCATATTCAGAAAAATTTTTCTAAAATTAAAAGAATTAAAAAGAACTTATTGGCAAGAACTTTTCCGAATTTTTGATATTCAGCGATTAAATTTTTCCATCAATTTGAATTATGATCTCTGGATTCAACTATTTTACATTAGTGGAGAAGAAAAAAGTTTCCACCTTCGTTTTCCAATGATTACAAACCGCATTTTCCTTTATACGTAGAGGAACGATCAAAGGGGCGGTATAATCTTCGTTTCGATCGGGTATTTCTCCCGCGTTTCTTGCAGGAACGGGTTATTTGGTTGGTGAGGGGATAATCAAACTTTCTGAATGCCTTTCGAGTTCGTTCCACGCAGCCACAAACACGTGACCAAGTAGGAATGAACTTAATTCGCATTCGTTTCTCTTTCTCTTTTCCAATCCTTTCTCATTATTTCCTTATTCGTTAATCTAGTTTAAACTAATTTACGCGTGAATAAATTATTTCACCAATTACCAGTTTCTTTTCACTTTTTTTTAAACGAGTTTGGCCGAATTTTCGTTCCAATTGTATAAAAAAGGTGAGTATGAAACAGTTTTTTAAAACAGATACTTTATACATGTAATTTTTATTTAAACGTATTTCTTTAATCGTATAAATAACTATTAAAGAATCAGTTATTAAAACGTTCAAATATATTGGCTTAAAAGCAAATTAAAAATTAGCTTAATTAAAAAAAAAGAAAAAAGAAAAAGTCAAATGAATCGTAACAAAGAAATTAAATTTCCAATATAGACGGAAAATTCATGTCAGCCTACCATAAATATTCCAACAATTTACATTTTATTTACAGTGAACTTGACTCTCAAAGGAATCTGTATCGTCGTAACGAAGAATAAATCCCATTACAGACAGTCAGAAAGGCGGAATTTCGTCATGCCCCGTAAGGATAACACGGGACTTGCCTGGCCGGATTGCAGTCGCACAGGGGCACGGTCGAAACTTTGACTGGTTTTATAAAAGCGGGCCAATCCCTTTGACTCGGCGAATTCATTAATTTTACCGAACAGCAGGGATACAGTCTGGCGAGTCTCTTACGAGCCATCATCGATGGGATTTCGTGTTTCGAGATCCGGCTTTGAGGTCGGGTCTGAAAATTTAATGGAACGGAGAGAGAGAGAGAGAGAGAGAGAGAGAGAGAGAGGCGTGCAGTTTGCACGAATGCCAGCGACAATGAAATTAAATGAATAATTTGCTTCGATCCAGTGAAACGATAACGATTAGTTACTCGCTCGTCGCTGTCTAATCGACGCCTTTACAACTTCTCGTTTTACTTTAAGCGGGGATTAGTAAATGGAATTGCTGGCAGTAGTATTTTACGGTTGAACGTCTTTTTGAAAAAGTATTGGACAATTGCCCAATAAGAATTTTTTTGTCCATCCTATGGACTATTGTTGATCCTGATATGATTTTTAACGAACATATTTTACTTTAAGGATTTTTTTTTTTGATTTTTGAACTTTTAGATTTTAATTAAAATTTTAAGAAACGAAAAAGAGTGGTAGAGTTAAAATAATAATCTCCGTTGAAGGTTGAAATAAAAAATAAATAAATAGATTAATTAATTGAATAATCAAGATTAAAAAAAAAAAAACAATCTCTCAACGCCTGTTCTTCATTCTTTTCTCGACACGTGACATTCTTTCACTTCTACCTGTCTCGTGAACGAGAACCATGACCTACGCTTACGTCGACCAGGAATTTTGTTCGATGACGCGAACAAAAGGTAAAAGACCAGTCGATTCATCGTGTCGACGATCCTCTGACCCATAAAACACACATTTCTTTTTTTTTTCTCTCTCTCTTTCTCTTTGTCCTTTCCTCCTCCTTCGTTCCAGTCTGTATTTCTTGCCAAAAATCCTTTCACTTCGTCCATTCACCCATGGTCTCTGTATAATTAATTCTCAAGACTTAGAGGAATTTTTTTCCGGTTTTCTTCTTTTTTTATTCTTTTTGCAATTCTAAATTTCGCTATATTAAAGCGATATATTTTGTGACATTGAAATTGAAAAAAATTTAGTATCTTTTTTTTTTTTCGAAAAATATTCAAATGGCCAAAAAATTAATTTTTATTAATTTATATTAATTTAATAAAAAAAATGATCGAAAAGTTGTAAGAATAAAATAAAATAATTTCGAAATTTTTTTCATGGGATTGAAATAAATTTACTCGATACGGTGATTGTGAGATTTATTTTTGGATTCAAGACAAATGTGGGCGGACTAACATGCGTTATGTAATTGTCGCCAGTTTTAGAGCAGATCAATAAATTACGATGGTTCGATCTAATGCTGCGCACTCGTATCTCTTTTCTGTCTCGATTCAATTCGATTCCAATCTCAACTTCTATGCATGTGTTATGAAGAATGTAATATATCATCGATATATATACATCGTGGAATTGAGGGATAAATGTTGATTTAATTTTAAATTTTAAAAATAAATTTGTTGTTTTGAACGATGGAATAAATTCAAAAAAAAAAGAAAAAAGAAATTCATCGAAGGAGATAACTAATCTCGATATAAACTTATGTATTTTTATTAATATATATTTTATTTATACGTACCTGATATTCGGTTGACGTACTGATATTCAGTCGAGCTTGTTGTAATTCTAATTAAGTTTGAAATATTGAACAAATTTTATATTTTAAATAATTTTTTAAAATATTCAAACTCTCGATCTTTGTAATGTTTTTTAAATCACAAAATCTTTATATTTCAAAATTTTGTAAAATCTTAAAATTTTTTTTACACTTCTTATCTTTTTTTTTTTTTTTATCTTTTGAAATTCTTCAATTTACGAAATGTTAAACTTCTTAATTTTTCAAATTTTTCAAATTTTCGATTATTCGTATTTTTAATCTTAAAATTAAACAAAATTTCAACCGTTTTTCAACACTTCATCGAATAAAAAAATTTTCTCAATTTCTAAATCGTTTTCTAAATCTCTGATCCACCATTTTCTGCGAAGAATCGAAAATCACACATCAGGATTAAATAACCACTTTCAGAAAGAATCAACGATCATGGATTTATTCGCATATTTATTCTTCCATTCGTTTCGTTACGTATTGTAGACGGTATATCACATAATACAATGAACCTCGCCGAGGTTTCGTACGCCCTCTGTCCTCCCTCGTACGATCATCAAAAGAGAACGTTCGAGAAAGAATCGAAATTGGGTCCGTACAAAATATCGCAAGTTTCCCTCTTTTTAAAATGGCATCGTTATAACAACACTTACGTTCTTTTCTTTTTTTTCTTTTTCTTTTATTTTTCACGGCATATGTGTGAATGTATGTGTGTGTATATGTGTGTGTAGGTGTGCACGTGTGTCTCGATTACACGTCCTACAGGATGTTTCAAAATTCTTTACATTAACCAACAATACTCTTTTCACGGTTTCAAAGATTTACCTTTGAACCGATCTGTACAACTTCGATTGTATGTCCAGCAGAACGTTAATATTCTCTCTATTCTGCCGATTTTTGAAACAACCTGTATAATATGAACTACAAGATGTTTCAAAATTCTTACATCAATCTTCCAACAGTGTTCACAGTTCTCAAACGCAATCTAATATAATCTCAATAACTTTTGAAACAACCTGTACAAATTACATTAAAAATCGTCCTACAGGATGTTTCAAAATTTTCGATATATCATTCTTCCACTCTTGTTTCTCTGTCTCACAGTCTCTCAACAAATCCATCCGCGTGACGAGTTTTTTGAAGCAACCTGTACAACACACCGAATTATCGCGTGTTCAGCAAAAGGCGATTCGTTTAAATTCGCTATTATCACAAATAACCAACGAGGAACGGTAAAAAATCTACGGAAACAATATGGCGGCAACGATGGCGATTAGCTGAGAGGCCAGAGGGAGCTTCGGTAGCCAACTGTGTATGGCTGCGTTGGCTTCGGAATTGTATAAACCAAACCTGCGTTTTAACATCCGTTGTGTTATGGTACACATATGTAGATATCGACACGTAATCACGTATGTACGTATTATTTCTCCTTAATGAATCCTTCACGAAACTGTCCTATTCTTCTTTTTCCACTTTCAATCTTCATCATTTCTTCTACAATTAATTCTAGCAAGTTTTTTTTTTTTTTTTTACGATCTCTCACACCGAATCCTTCATTCTTCCTTCCTTCCTTTCTTTCCTTTTTATTTATATTCAGTCTCGATCTACGACTAGCTTGAGCGAATATATCTTTTTTTTTTTTAAAAACGTCTCTTCCGTTGTAGCAACGAAGCTGGCGGAACAAAGTTAAGACACCGAAGAAGCTCGACTGTTTTTTTTTTCTTTTTCTGTCGCGAATCCCAGTCCATCCTTTCGCACTCGATTCTCGTCGTGCTCGATTTCGCGGCACGAAACGTGAAATCCTCAGAAGGATTGGATCCTCACTTTCGAGGTTCTAGGATCGAAGGTGACGCGCTGAGCGCCACACCTGGCACGCTACAGTCATCTCGACTCGCTCTGCGAATGCACAGTCGGTTCTGAGCTTGGGTCCGGGTCCGAGTCGTCGATGGACGCCCCCTGTTGGGGCACTTGCATCGAGTAGCTTGGGCTCCGATCGTTTCTACAAATGGAGCGATCGTGGATTGTATCTTTTGAGAAGATGTGATCAATTTGGATCTTGGAAATGACAGTGATTTGTTGTGGACTGATGCAATAGACTGTAAGTGATATTCCTTGTGGAGTTTAAAATGATACTGTGATAGTTTTTTTTGTTGACTAGATTGTTGTGATAGAAGGTTAGGTTGGTGTGATATGATAGTTTCCTTGTAGAGAGTAAATTTTATTAAAGGTTAGGTTGGTACGATATGATAGTTTGCTTGTAGAGAGTAAATTTTATTGAGATATAGATTGGTGTTGTGGAAAGTGAATTGATATTATTATCAAAAGCTTTCATGTTGGATAGTTTACAAAATGAAAGATTGGATTGATATCACAGTGATATTGATTTAATTTGTATTGGAAGATAGATTGATACTATATTTTATTAGAAAATGGAGAATTTTTGATACTAGATTGATACTATAATAGTTAACTATTACCAACTTGTTGTGGAAGGTTAATTGATTGCCATATTGGTTTCCTGTTGAACTATAATATTAATGGCATAGTTTGTTGGGTGTCTTATTGTGAAGGATAGATTGTTATGGGAAGTTAGTTGAGGTAATATTAAAAGTTTCAGGAAGTTTGTAGTGTTTTGAAGTTAGAGATTTGCAAATAAAATAAAATTAAATAGCAAACAGAGAATCATGTTTTCAGTTGAATCAAAGTTGAATCACGAATCTATCGTTAAATCATATTTGCATAATTAATTGGAGAGATTCATGATTTAGATACATGACTTGATTCGAAAGAGATTTATTTTCACTCACCTGATCGCTAATTGACTTCCATCGCTGCCGCGTCTCAAAGTGCTCGTCCGCCGTTTGCAGAAGCACTTGCAGATGATACTTTTGAACGCAAACCGGAAGTCTTTGCTAAATAGCGCGTAGATACACGGATTTATTGCGGAGTTGCAGTAGCCTAGCCAAAACAGTATGCTAAACACAGTGGGGTGGATGCAATTGCGGCAAAAGGCGCGCACCAAGTACATTGTGAAGAAAGGAAGCCAGCAGAGGATGAACCCGCCGACGATGATGCCCAGTGTCTTCGCTGCCTTCGTCTCCATTCGAAATCTCTTCACCTGGATCATTACAACAACTTCATATATTCTTTAACATATATATTCTCTGCAAATTTTTCACAATCTTTCATCATTCTTTATAATTTAATATTCTTTATTATTCTTTTTTATCATTCATTTACTTATAATTTTATATAAATCAATCAATCTATAATATTAAATTATAATTTTAGAATTAGTATCTATAGTTTTACATAAATTATTAACAACATAAATGTTTATTAGTATTCATTTTTTACTCTCTCTCTCTCTTTCTCTCTCTCAATATAATTCAATTATTAGACATTCTATTAGATCAATCAATTACACTCTTTTCAATTTTCAATATTTCAAAAGATTGTGCAATACCTGAGCTTTAATATTTCTCTTCCCCATCTTCATCACCCTTGGTTTCTCCTCGGTGCCTTGAGTGAGCTCCCGCAACGACATCTCATCACCCATCATTTGACTCTCGCAGCTGTTCCTCCTGCTAGGTCTTCTGGTGCTTCCAACCCTGTTGATGCCGCTCACCTGTCGCGAACGTATCGAGACCACGTTTAACGACACCGTTCCCTCGATATTTTCCTCGAGAGACACACTTCCAACGTGTCACCAGAATTTTACGATTTCACGATCGTGAAATCCGTTTTCTATCGTAAAATCGAAACCCATTTTCGCTACGCTCTGTTCGTTCTGTTCGCTATTTTCAGGGTTTTATCGGATGTCGCAAAGATAGACAAATTATTGATTCGAGGCTATTGGGAGAGGGGAAGTTGAGAAATTTTTTTTCTTTTTTATTTATTTCGTAAGAAAGCCAAGAAAATTTCTATCGTTTCTTTCATGGTAGAATAAAGGAAAATGCAATTGTTGTTTCAAAATATCTAATCTAACGATTGTTGTGACGTAAAATTGGATGTGTGATAGATTGTGCACGTGCAAGATTTTTCTTTTTCAATTCTTCTATTCTCTCAAGGCTTTTCTTTCAGATTATTGTATAAGCTACGAAAAATATTTACGTATATTTTCCAATAAGATCTTTTTATCAGGCTCTATATTTCTTTATTATTTATAGTCACATGAAAATCAAATTTAAATAATAAAGTAATAATAGCGTTAAATGATAAACAATTCAATATATAAATTAATATAAATTTTATAATAAATGCAATAATATTTTTGCATTTAATATATTTTTTATTAAACTTAGACAATAATCTTCAAAATTGAAAATAAAGGATGATACTATATATTTTAGTATTTTTTTCTACGAAAAAATTTTTTTACTACGAAAAAAAAAATGATAAATAAATTTTCTTTTCTGATCACTATTTGATAAGTTGATGGATTTTTCGCTTCACCGAGATTAATGAATAAATTTTGAAATAACATGTGACTTCTTTTTTAAGAGTTAAAGATGGAAAAAGCTGTGGACGGATTTTTATTCGTGCAAAGCTCTTGGACAAAGATTTCGAGCCACATTGATGCATATTTATGGCACCCTGTAAACGTTCTCTGACTCCTCTCTTTCGCGCGATTTACATTTCAGAAAATTTAATTGCACGAGAAAAAAGGAGGGCAAAGAGTATTTCGATTTCGATTTTTCCGAAGAATTACTTTTTATATATTTTTTATATATTTTTTATATATTATATAACAAATTGATTACCATTCGAAGAAAAATATTTTCTTTAATAAATTTCAATTTTTAGATTATAGATATTTATGGAAATTCATATTTTGACAAACGTAATCGAAAAATATCATTATTATTTACATTAAAAATCCTTATCCTTATTTTTATTTCCTTTTTTAATCTTTGATATCAATTTATTGAATTAATGTGTAATATCATGCAAAAATTTTATTATTTTCAATAATAAAAAGATTAGCAATTTCAATTATCTTTCCTTTTCCATATAATTGGAAAATTAAATTTTTCCAGAAGAAAGGAATAATATTAAAGGAATTTTGATGAGAGAGTAATTCATTCGAATCACAAAGTTACCTTTAAATGAGTGCTTCTGGGGGTTGGACACAATTGACTGTGCGTCTGACCATTGCTATAATGCACAGAGGTCTGGGAACACTTGGATGGCGTTCTTTCGAGGGTGTTACACTTTGTATTCAACGTCTCGGTGCTCGGATACGACACCGAGATTTTTATCTTCTCCCTTTTCACCGAGCACCGACTGTTCGACTCAGGACTCCTCGGACTTCCGTTGTTGCTCCCATTGTGCACGCTTCCTCGGCCACGATGGATCCTCAAGGTCAACCTCTCTTCGTCGAATCTGCAGCACAATTCGTTCGTAATATTTTTCATAATCGATCTCTAAGTATATTTATAAACTTTTTACTTTTTAAACAAATTAAAGATGACTTAAATTGTCTTTAATTTTACATAGATTTTGTTATATTGTGTTATAATTAAAAAGTGATTAATTACAAGAAATTTTATATTTATGTAATGTATAATTATTAATTTAGTATTTCAAGATGTTTCTTATTTTTAATACAAATTAATGATTAGTCAAGTGAGGAATTTGATTTTGACATTGTATGATAATTAATATGATACTTGAAAAGTGAATAATTTGATTTGTATTTGATAATTCTACAATTTGCTACAATTTCAACAATTGATTTATTTAGTGAAATCACGAGCATGCGAATTAAAATTGATTTCTATAATTCAAAATTCTGATAATGAAATAATAAAAACAGTAGATTTAATAATTCCTACATTTAATAATTAATTTAATTCTGAATGATTTTATTGAATAATTCCTGTATTTAATAATGTTTAATAGTTACTTAATTCTGAATGGTTCTTTATTGAATTAGCCATTCAACAATCTAAATATGAGACTCAATTTTACCTAGAGCCAAACATTTTCGAACTCTTTGTCGTGCGGAAGCCTTGATTAATAGCCTTTGTGGTGGAGACGGCCGCGTTATAGATCCTCCAGTAGAAAAACAGCATGACCAACATCGGTATATAGAAAGAACCAAGAGCGCTGCAAATAAGTTTTTAATTTAGTACAGAAAAGGGGAGACAGAGAGAGAGAGAGAGAGAGAGAGAGAGAGAGAGAGAGAGAGAAAAGGACAGAGTTAAAGAGGATAATTTCGTTTCAAGATAGGCGCTCATCCCTTGGGCATTCTTAGACGAGGATCGCGTTTAATGGAGCCACCTGTTAAGTCTCTACTTCGTTCTGTCTCGTTTCGCTTCTTAGAATCGACAGGATTAATTATAATTTTATTTTATTTTATTTTAATTTCTGTTATTGAGTTGTGGTATTTTATCAAGGTTTTAAAAGACTCAAAATTGAAAAAGGAGTTGATCAAGGAGTAATTGAAGATTTTAATGAAAGATTGGATAGATTGTAAAATGGAATTTAATTTTAAATTAAATAGTTGGTTGTTTCTTCTCTTATTTTTTTTATATTTGCAATTTTTGTTATTTTTTTATTTCTTAAATTTTATTCAGATGAACATCCGGAAGAAGAGTGTATGTTACATTTTATATATAAAATTTACAAGAAAAATATAATTTATTGCACATTGCAAGAATTAAAGGAGGAGGAAAAATTTAAAGAATAATATTTTTCAATAGTGGGACAAAGTTGTGTGTTATACCAGCTGCTTTTTTAATTATCCCAGTGAGCAATAAACTGTTTTTATTTTCCTGTAGATTTTATGAAATGTAACATACATATTTTTTTTAGGTACTCATTCATTTCTTTTTTAATTTATTTCTATTACTTTTTATTACTTCTTTCATTTTCTCTTTTTAATTCCTTTCTAATTTTCTTATCTTCCTTTTACTCTCTTTTTCTATTATTTTTATATTTGTATTATCTTTTATCATAACGTTTCTTTTCTAATTTCTGTTACAATTTTTCACCCTTCCTATTTTAATTCTTCTTTCTATTTTTCCTTTTTGAAATATTTCATCTTTGATACCTTCTCTCTCTAAATTTTCTTTCTTTTTTATACATACATAATAACTTTTCATAGAAAGAAAGAATATCTTTATAAAATTCCAGAAAATTAAATAAGAGTATTTTGTATCGTTATCTTTCATCGAAATTAATTTTTTAAAACAAAATGTGTTTTCAATTATGCTATAAACAACTTACTCTCTAAAACAAAATAGAACTACCACTATGTTTTTCATTTTCTCTATAACACATATTTCATCTTCACAATTGAAATGAAGAACAGGGGGAAGCATCGTATCGAAAACATACACTGGTGTGGCGGTAGGTTTCATTGAATTTCCAGTTTCGCTTTGACATATCTTTTTCTACACGAGGCCAGGATGGAAAGATACGAAACGCTCGCTCGCAGATAGCCTTGTAAACTTCGTGTCTATGGATAAAGCTACTGTTTGTCTACAGTATTGCTCTTTGTATCAGATAAGAGATCAAGTTGTGCCCCTTTGTTGACACGCTCACAATAGATGCTGATGAATAGAGGGCGCTTTATCTTCTATCTTTCGATCGCCATGATGGAAAAAGCGAAATGAACTCTATGCTATGAAATTGCACGTGTCACGATCCAATGATGAATTTTATTGTGTATTTTAGGCGGGGAATTAATTTTGATAGATTTTATCGGGATACAAAAATCAATTTTCTCAAATTTCTAAATGGGATCGATGATTTTTATATTGAAAGGATTATGTTTTAATTTAAAGATAATTTTAAGATTTGAAAAGTAGCTTTAAAAATTAATTTTGATAGATCGAAATTAGAATTAATTAGAATTTATTAGAAGATAAATATTTAATATCGTTTAGACAGAAAATTAATCTTGATTTGAATATATTAGAAGAATAAATTTTAGAAAATATTAGATATAGATTTTGAATTGTGACAGAAGATTAATTTACACGATATTTAATTGAAACGTTTTTAAAATTACCGTATTTAAATATTTTAATAAAAGTGAAAAGAAATTTTCTCTTTTAAATATCAAAATTAAATTCAATACACCATTGCACAAAGAATATTAATTACTTTTCCAGATAGATTTTACGATATCGAATAAAAATATTTCATAAAAAATATCCAAGACTTTTGTCGTCTCGTTGGATTTTACAAAATCATTTGAACGATATAAATTCGTATTCTCGAACGAAACGAGAAGCTTTCAATACAACAACAAACGGTTTGTTACATCACCGATTATAATTCTTCTTTTCGAGGAATTTTACATTTACAGTGAAAAGGTTTGAAATATCACGGGCAAAGTGAAAATGATAACACGAGGGAACGAGGCACCGTAAATTTATCTGGCGCAAGGATGGAACATTAACCGTCTACTCAGTAGCTGATTTAGATGCAACGTCGGGCATAAACCGGCGTGGATTGATGAACACGCCGATCGCGATAACACGGTAAGAATAGACACGATGTTTGCCAGAAAATTCAGACCTAACTCTCCACGGCTTAATAATTTTCAAGGCGGATCACGTTCGCTCGATTACGCGTGTAATTTTGTATTCGTTGTATTCTTGCGTTACGTGATTTGATCATTCGAAAATATTGTATTCGACAATTTCGAGATCGGCCTGTTAGAGAATTGGAAATATTGGAAATTTTGGAAATTAGGATAATTGGAATTTTTGGAAGTTAGGATAATTGGAATTTTTGAAAGTTAGGATAATTGGAATTTTTGGAAGTTAGGATAAGGTTGAGATTTGATAGTTTTTGAAAAAAGTTGTTTACAAACATAAAATAAATTTTTAAATTAATTAAAATTTTAATTAATTTTTAATTAAAATTTTTAAATTAGTTAAAATAAATTTGGAGAGTTTATAATTTTTGAGAAAAGAGAATTTTTCAAAGAATTTTTCAAAATTTTTATCAAGATATTTTATTAAGAGATTTTTTTTATGGAAAGGAGTCTTGTGTAATAAAGTTCTGAAAGTTTTTGGAATTTTCAAATATTGAAATTTTAAAATTTCCATTAAATGGAATTTTTAAAAGTTTCTACTTCGAAAATCTTTTATTCCAATTAACAAGATCCCTCAAATTCGAATATTCCCCATTAATAATTCTGATTGACAAAGTTAATGTTGAAACCGTGGGATTAAGGAATCCAGGTGCAGGTGTTTCGAAACTCTGAAGCATCAAAGCGTTGGAATATCATAATATTTCAACTATCAAAGCCTCGAGGTATCATAACTTACAGTGTTAAAGTGGCGAGATGTCGAAATGTTCTAGTATGTAAGAAACGAAACTTTACGATCCTAGTCTCAGAACTATATTTTCTATTTCTGGGAATTCAAGTTGTAAGATTTACAGCACACATTTACTTTAAACTCTGACTCTAATTTCTATTATTTCAATTTTTCAAATTGAAACGATTCACACCTAATTCCACCTTGTTTATTTTACAAATCGATCCAACTGTACGTCTAATTTTTTAATTTCTAAATTTCTAAATTTTTAAAATTAAATAAATTTATAAATCTCTTTCAAAAAATTAGCATATCAATTAGTCCAATCTCTTTAATTAACCAATTATCTTAATTAATGATCTCCTCCATTCTTCAAGAAATTCGAAACCTTAAAATTTTCATCCCAATTAGCTTGCAAATCCTTTTAAAAAGTTTCCTCACCTCGATCACCTCCATAGTTTTCTAACAAGTAATCTTAATCTTCATTAAGATTCTTCACTCACAAATTTATAGCCCAGAGAATTCAAACACAAATTTTCACCCAAATTAGCTCACAAACTCTCTTCAAAAAGTGTAATTTATCTCAACTTTTGATTTCTTTTAAAATTATCCCATCCCAAAAATTCAAACATTACAATTTCCAATCCAATAGTTTTACAGTTTTTAAATTAAGAAATCTTCACCAAAATATCTAATCTTCTCTGAAATTCCAAAAGAAATTCAAATCCTATAATTTTCATTCCAATCATCCTTATATTAATTGTCTCTCAACCTTCTCAACTTTTTCAAACTTCACAAAAACTCTTTCATTAAAACTCCTTCCCTCAATTCCTCATCTCTCACAAAATTCTCCACTCTCCAAAGAAGAACTTTTCAACCCCTTTTGAAAAATCTCTCTGAATGAAACAAAAAGTAAAAAAAAAGTATAATAATTCTGGAGTCTTGAGAGAACCATTCGCAAAACTTTCTATAACTCACCTATAAACGACGTAGCCGGCATCGTTGGTCAGCTCGCAGATCCAAGGACACGGTTTCATGGGGACGAAGATGGTGGTGGTGTTGAACGGTCCGTTTTGAGCAAACGTCGTGTTGTACGCGGAATGAGACTGCGTCAACAAGATGGAAAAAAGTGATAGAAAGTGGCAGACACGTTGCTAACGAGGGTAAGAACTGTCGAAATTGGTGATAGTTACCCGTTTGTCTTTCCAGCCGACCAGGGGTGGGAAGCAGATGACGAAGCTCAAGATCCACACGGTTGCAACCAGCAGCCTTGCTCTCCTCGGCGACATGATCTGGATTTCGAAAATTCAAAATGGTTTCATGAGGCAGATGATGACAACAGAAATTTAATTCGAAATTAATTTTTTGGTATTTTTTTAACACGAGAATTTGATAATTTGAATTAACACAAAAGGGGAAAAATGATTTGTTAATTTGTGTGTTTATTTGATTGATATAAAATGGAAATTTAATTGAATTTATAAAAAATTAGGATTCTTAGAATAAGTAAGAATAAGTTTTGAAATTTTTTTAATTTTTATTAAAGTTAAAGTATCTTTAACTATAATTGAAATATTTGAAAATTTGTCAAAATATTTGTAGAGATTCTTAGAAAATTAAAATTTTTTCTAGTTAAATTTTTTAATCTTTCCAAAGAATTTAATTAAGCTAATGAAAACTTGCAAAATTATTTTTCTTCAAACTTACGAAACAAAATTACGAAACAAAATTAGAAATCAATCATTCGCAATCATTTTTCTAATAATATCTCAATCTTTCTCTATTTTTCCAATTTCTGGCAAGGATTAATAAAATTAATAAATCGAGCGTGTGAATTCAAACGTTTGACGATCGTCGAACAATTCGATCGATCAATTAAGCCATTCCAAGCTGGGAACGTCGAATTCATTGTCCATTCGACAGAAACAGAGGCTCTATATATAAGTGAGGGGAGTAACCAAGTAGGGGACAAATGGCTTCATCGAGCGTTTCATCGTACACCTGTTCCACGAAATCGAATAATCGGTAAATGGTACTTGCCTGAGGATAACTGACTGGCCTGGTCACTGCTAAGTATCTATCCAGGCTGATGGCGCACAAATTCAATATCGACGCGGTGCACATCCATACGTCGACCGCCAGCCAGATGGAGCACCATAGATCACCGAATATCCAGACCTTTGAAAGCCGAATCGCAGAGGAATCCATTAGGTTTCGAAATCTATTTTACGTCCCGGTTCGTCTTTCAATTGGCGAGACATTGTTCGCCGCTATGCACTATGTGTATAATGCGGATAATGAAATATATATTTCGTGGAAATTTCGTGTATTTTTCGATTTTCCAATTCTCAATAATAATATCTTCTCAAACTGAGTTTCGTTCGAATAAAATTCGAACGAATAAAATTCTTTCAAAGATTTTTGGAAAAATTTTTGCAAATTTTTGGAAACGAGCTGATGATAATCGAAGGATAAAGAACGAGAAATAAATAAATAAACGAATAAAATAATTGCAAAAAGGATTGAGGATAGATTTTTTTTTTTCTTTTGAAATACGAAAACTAACCTAAAAATTGAAAGATATCCAAGCACTTTCCCTCTATATATCGTATAAATTTTCCACGATGGCTTTATGGTTTCTCGTTATCCTCTCGTTTCCCTCATTTTAGACGGACTTCAGCGTTGTTCATCCATCCACGTTTCGATACATCCCTCTATGCCCGCCGTACAATACCTTTATCCATCCTTTACTCTGCGTTTCAATCTCCTCGAAACCAATAATCTTTCTCTCTCTCTCTCTCTTTATATATATATATATATATATCCTATCCATACGAGCAAACTTGAGTCGAGAATGTCGCTCGAATTCGTACATACGATACATAATGCACGAGAACGTGAATTTACGTTTTCAAACGAAGCGTTTTTCGAGACTTGTACATTTGTTGAACGTCGTGTTTCTTTCAGTTGGTGTTTTTGGTTTATTGAAAAAATATTTATAGATATTTATAAATTATGAATTAGGATGTATATTTGTTTACAATGAATTTTTTTATTTTATGTTGTAATTTTCATTCAAATTTTTCATAAGTATTTATATAATTTAAGGGAGGATTTTTAATATCCATTCTTAATTTCTTAATTTAGAAGTAATGAAATAATAAAGATCCGTCTAATTAATTAATTTCAATAAATGCTTAAATTTGACATCGAATCGTAATTTTTGATTAAATATAATTTAATTAATTAGGATAATTCGAAAATAAATTGGAATATTGGAGAAGTAGAAAAGTGGCCTTAATTGTTTTCCAATTTATCTTGCATTGTTCCAAGGTAAATTGAAAACTGATCAAGTGTACTCTTCCGCTTCTTATACCTCCTCTCCCGATATTTCAATCTTCCAATTTCCCTTCGAATCTTACTAATCAATTATATAATTTTAGTTTCAAGCATGGATGGAAAGAGGACGCTTAAGAATATTATAACAATTATATATTATTCTAAAATAAATTAACAATCGATCGATTATATATATATATATTTTTCCTATATCTTCTTACATCTCTTTTGTGAGATTTCAACCCTCTAATTTACCTTCAAATCTAATCAATTGTATAAATTTTAAGCTTCGTGTAATACCAATCATAATAATCCCAATATTAATAGTAATATAATAATTATAATTATAACTATATAAAAAATTAATATAATCAATTACAAATATTTTCAATTCAAAAATTCTATAACTCTTTATATTAAATAAATTTTTATTTTCCATATATAATTTACAACAATTAAATTAAAAAATTTCTACTTTCTAATTATCTATTTTTCCAACATACAGCCAATACAATTTATAACGATTTTCGTAAATTCCAAAAATAGAGAATCAATAAAATCAAAAACTCCTTCCAATACCTTAATACTCAACAATTTCGATTGTATCTATCGACCTCGGCCATCACGAGACGCGTTATCTTCGAGCTAAGACGAGAAGCCGACACTTCGATCGAGCCTTCCTCCACGGGGTGTTGAGCATAATGCACCCCCATGAGCGGCAGCTGTAACCGCCTCGCGCTGTGCTGTGATTCAACCACCTCCCCGACGACGCCAACCACCTGTTTCGGAATTATCCTCGACCCTCCTGTCCACGCTCTTGTTCGATTCGATTAATCTAACCCTCCCTCTCCCCCTCCACTATCCACCCTCGAGATGCACGGCCGTTATTAATAACTCGACCATTGGTGTGTTTCGGGGGATGTTAATTAACTTGTTCGTCATAATCCTCGATTCGTTAATTTCGAAATGATAGAAATTCGATATCAGTCAGGTTAATTTGAATGTAATGTAACACAGGGATCAGTTGATCGATCATTTATTTATTTAATATTGTTTTCTTATCCTTTTCAGATTCAATTATTCAATTCTGTTAAAATAAATTAACAATTGATTATATATATATATTTTCTATATCTTCTTACGTCTCTTTTGTGAAATTTCACTAATTTACATTTAAATTTAATTAATTGTACAAATTTTAAGCTTAATGGAATGTATCAATTATAATGATCCCAATATTAATAGTAATATTCTATAATAATTATAAATATATAAAAAGTTAATATAATTATTTTAAAATATTTTCAAATCAAATATTCTATAACTCTTTATATTAAATAAATTTTTTGCAATTTAAAATTGCAGTTTTGCAATCTCATTTCGTGTACACTATTAAATAAATATTTAATATGGAGGCGTATTATTATTTATTTATACCAGAAGATCATTGAAATACATAAAGATTCCAAATTATAAAATATCTCTCAAGATTGTAGTATCCAAATTCTTTGAATCCAAATTCCAGCCCCTTGAACCAAGAAGCGCAACAATCTTTCTCGCCCCATCCCTCCCCTGAAATCCAACCCCCAAGAAACCTTCGTCCTTCGGGGGTTGAATCACTACGAAAGGAAGGAAGGAAGGAAGCAAACTGTTGCGCCTAACCCACCCCTTCCCCTCTTTCCCTTCACGGTTATTTCCTCGCCCTTTTTTTAATCTTTTGCCAATCTGGATCCTTCTCTGGATGATATGGCGGGGATGTGTGTATCGAAGGGGTTGCTATAATGGCCGAGATAATTGTCTCGAGTTATATTATTTGAACCTCAAGCTTCAACCTTCTCTTAGCTGGTTGTTGTAATTAAGGGAGGGCGAGTTTTTCTCTCGAGTTTCCGGTTTCTGGTAATTGGGGAACGATTTGACCGTAATTCGACACATCGAGGGTGATTTCGTTAATGATGGGGTGGGATAGGAATGGAGTTGTAAAAAGATTCGATTTTCTTTTTGTTGTTGTTGTTGTTCTTCTTCTTTTTCTTTTCAATGTTTTTAGTTTCTATTGATTAGATAATATTGTAAAATCGATGTGTAAATTGTATTATTATTTAGTATAATGTGGTATGCTAATTGTACAGTTGATAATAATATATTTAATTAATTCTTTTTATTTATAAATCTAAGCAATAACAATGCGAGGAAAACAATTTATTCTTCCTTTCTGCCATTATTGAAATCATTCCTCGATGCACAACTGCTGTGAAGAGATTCCATCTAAAATACGATTTCATTATATGTGCCATTCGAGTTTTCTCGAGAATGAATTTCTCGCGATGAAAATTTTTATTCAAAGAAAAAATAAAATTTAACAAATCGATTCCTGAGAAAGAGCACGAAGGGAGAGATTCTCGCGTGAAATTCATTTCGATAAAAACTTCCATAACTTTAACTTCTTAAATTCGAAAAAAACTCGAAACCAAAAAGAAAAGATGGGAATGAAAATCTCTGTCGAAAATCACTGGAACGCCACACGGACGTTTAACAGGCTGTGATTCGCGCATCGTCGCTCCTCCAATCACGAAGTTTCGAATTTCGATGCAGATTCGCGCTCGAGAACACTCGAGAAACTCGGGATCCGTCGTCGTGGAACTCGCCAACTCATCATCATGGCCGCTTCGCCTCGATTCGCGCCATTATCCTAGTCTTCTTGCGAGAGGGAGGGAAAAAAAAAAAAAAAAGAAAGAAAGAAAGAAAGAAAAGAGGGAAAGAAGAGAGAGAATAGAGAGGAACGATCGATGAATCATCGAACGGACGAGAGATCAAAGGTTTCGACACGCAACGATGAAAAATCAGTGCAGTGTTTTCCGGTCTTTCTTTGAAATTCGTTCGACGTGGAGCCGCTTTTAATTTCGAGGTATAAAGCGTGATATTGCTTCGCGATCGCGACTGGAAAAGGATTTTTGAAATGTTTTTTTTTTTTTTTTTTTTTTTTGATGCAAAAGATCGAGTTTTTTTTATATGTCTATAGAAAGTTTTTAAAGAATTTTTCGAGAGAATTGCCAGTTATATCTGTGAATATCTATTGTGTGTTTGAATCTTTATCTTCTGCGTTGGAATTTGTAAGTTGTTAAATATTCTTGAAACGTGATATTCTTTTTTTATAATGTGTTTCGAGTGTGCCAATTATTGGATGAAAATTTTTATTTTAGAGATAGACTGTATATTTATGATTTTTGTTCAAATATTTTCCAAATTAAGAAACTTATATAGATAATATTAATAGATCGGGGAATTTTGTGTATTTAATTGATGTAGAAAATATATCATATCATTATGTAAGATATATGCTAGATTAAAATGAAATTACGCAAATTCACAAATAAAATTTCAATTTTTCACGTAAAAGGCGTGAAAATTCTTCTATAATGTAATTACTAATTACGGACGCCATTGCGCGCCAAATTCAAACGTCAGAAAAATGAAAAACGAGATGATTTTCTACTCTTCTCGTATAAATTCAATTTTCAGATAAAATTTTACCATTTTTATCTTATTAAATGTCATTTTCTCAATGTAATTTAACACCACTCTAAAATAAAACAAAAACTTTTATGTCATTTTCTAAATTATAATTACTCGTAAAAGGGCGGCAAATTTAAACTTCGAGGAAAACAAAATTCCACTCACTTCACGTTAATTCAATATTGATAAATTGATAAATTGATAAACAAGTGCGATTAGATTATTATTACGAATAGAATTGAAGCCTCACCTTGAAAACCTCCCACGTAGCGCTAAACGGAAGCACCGCCAGACCGACCATCAGATCCGCCACCGCGAGGCTAACGATGAACATATTCGTCACGTTTCGCAGCTTGCTCGTATGATAGACAGCGAGTATCACGAGCACGTTGCCCAGCACAACCATCACGTTCACTATCGCGAGCACGATCAGGGTAACCAGGATCCACGGTCCGGACCACTTGACGTGCTCGTAAAGGGCAGCACATGCGGTCGCGTTCAGCTCTCGCATTTTAGTTGGCAAGCTGTCGCGCCAAATCTCGAACCATCTCAGACCACTTCCGGCCGAACAACGCACCGAACAACGACTCTCGTGAAGCGATTTCACCGGAAGAAAACCGACGGATACCGATCGCCTCCATCACGACGCGGTTATCGATCGATAGATCAACGATTCGATCATCGATCCTTTGGAAATCCTGGGATCATCGTTGATCGATCCGATTCGCTTTCTCCTTTGTATATTTGTATATTTCTTCTTTGTATTTTTGTTCGTTCGGTTGGTCGAATATTATTCTCAGGGATTTTATTTAGGTTTCTTTTGAGGTTAGGTTAGGTTTCCTTTTATTCGTTTGTTTTGTTTGAAGGAAGATACTGTTTTTTTTATTTTGTTTTAAGGTTTTGAGGTTAGGTTCGTTTTTCCGCTTCTTTATTTTTATGTATTATTTTGATCAATTATTTTTGTTTCAGAAAGGTGCAAGTTAGCTTTTTGAGGTTAGATCGTTAGGGGTTAGGGATTCTTCTTGATTTTCTTTTTTTGGAGAATTTAATTTTTGGATTCAGTTTTTAATCGGAGGTTAAGATTATTTCGCTCAGAGATTTACTCAATTATAAAACAACCGATCAATCGTAATGTTCAGAGGAAATTTTTAAACGACGAATGATTTCTTTTTTCCTTTTCCCTTGATAGTCTTCGGCACGTTCCTTTTTCCATCAATTTTCTCAATTAAACGGTTTAGCAACCTTTGCAATCTTTCCTCCTTTATCTAAAATTACCTTTGAAATCGGGCTATTTCCTCTTTTCCACCACCACGTGTCCCTCGTTCAATCCTCTTCCAAAAAAGAACAATTAAACCTATTAGCACCTTCGAGATTTACCATTCACCCTCGACAAACGCTATCATTGGCGACAAAAGCTCGTCCCTTCCCTTCTCTTTTTGATTCCGTTTCAACCCCTTTTCTTTCCCACCACCACCCCTTTTCGTTTCACACCCACCTTCGCCGTCTGATTTTCCTTATTGTTTCGTTCACTCCTCATTCAATTCGAAACTTCTCTAAAACGGATCGGTCTGCTGCTATAATTATCTCAGATCTAATTACACCACTTTCCTTTTTTTATCATCACCAAAAAATTACTCCAACTCGATTCACCGTTCTCTTCCTCATATCCTTACAAACGTCCTTAAATTTAAACAATATTTCACATTGTATGTCCACTGTATGTCTTAAACAGAGATTGGCTCATCGACGATTCTCGTCAGGAAGTCCTCGAATAACTTCTCAGAAGAGAACTGTTCTCCGTTTCGAGAGCCACGCACCCCTTTTTCCTTCGGGAATAAACGCACTGAGGGGGATAAATACACTTGGAAATATTAGGATTCGATAACTGGTTTTCCACTAGTTTTCGTTTTTCCAGAAGAAAAGTTTCTTCATTTCCTGAATATAAATCCCCCGCGCTCGCGATTTCACGCTTAGCAGGGCGTTAATAAATTCCTCGAAATTATTATCGAGGGATAGAAATTTTTGATCGAAGAACTTTCGATCGGAATTGAAATTCCATTACCGGCCTACCCGCCCCTCTCCTTGTCCCAGGACACTTCCGGTCCAATTATTTCCACCACCTTTTTCTCCCCCTCCGCCGCTAATTTCGACCCCCCCCTCCTCTTTTGAAAATCGAATTGAAACGAGATTTCAACCCCGATCCCATTTAAACTATCCTACAAGAGGATAGTTTTTTCCCCCCTCCCTATGTCCGAGCAGGCATCCACTTCCGCCTCGAATTGTCGACAATGGCGCCCTCGTTCATCGTCCTCTTCGGAAGAAATTTCGGCTCCTACGATTCTTACTTCCGCTTATCGTGAGGACGCGTTGCTGACGTTGCTCTATCGGTTCCTCCCTCATGTTTCGCCCACTGACTGAGACCCTCCACCCCTTCGTTTAACCTTCTCCCAATTTAAAAAAGGTTTTTGGACGCGCCAATTCGTCGATTCACTCGAGAGGAGAGAAAGAAATTAAGGGAATTTTTTTTATTTTGAATTTTCAAAATAACTTGTTCAAGTTATTATTATCTACTTTTGATTCTGATATTTTTCTAATCTCTTCCTCTGTATTTATAGATTAATCTTAAATAACGATCGGTTTTTAATTGTTTTTGGTATATAAAGGAACATTTTCAGACAGCTTGCTCCACCGTACAGTTATTGCTTTTGATAATTTTTATCTCTTAATAAAAGAGAAACGCTTTGCCCGTTCGTTTAAATTAATCTTCCCTCTTCTTTCACGGCAATTTTCACACGGTCTGGTAATTGCAGAATTTTAATAAGAATAATTATTCGCGATCGAGCAGCACCTCGAACCATCCCTTCCCAATTCTCAGAAATTATTTTCTTAGATTAAATAACAGAGGAGTCTTTTTTATTGCTTTATTCATTTATTTTCTTTTTTTTAAAACTTCTTCCAAATCTCTCTTTGCCTAATTATTATTAAGTTTGTGAGATGATTTACGAGGGTTTCCTTCTTACCCTTCGATAATTTGAATTTGTGCGTCTCTCAAATTTCCATAAAATTTTCTAGAATTTCTTTTCTTAATCAATCTAAGGTTTCTGAAATCCCTTTTCGAATCTTTGAAAAAAATTAAATAATCTTTTTTGTTAAATGTCGGATTCGAATTTTAGAAGAATAATTCAGATAATGGACGAAATAATGGTATTCCTTTTTATAATCGATCTCATACGATGGACAAACTTTGACAGATGAGAAAGTTTCAATATCTTTCTTTTTTTTTTTTTTTCTTGTTACAATCTTAGAAGAGTTTCTGAATTCCTTTTTAGATAGTTACAGACTTTAAGCTTCTCTTTCCTTTTCCACTTTAACGAGCTTTCCTAAGTATTCGGAAAATTTCAGGCTATTGTTTCTTCTTCTAACTTTGAGAGCTTAACGAATTCCAAAGATCCCTTTTACTATTAATATTCCATCTTGCTTCTAACATTTTTCATATCTTCTTCTTGAAAATTTTCCAATTTTGTTTAAACTTTTTTCTTTTAATATCGTTAAAATAATAATATTTTATTAATTTCGTTAAAACAGTCAATTTATTATCAATTCTTAATATTCAACAGTTTCTCGGCTTTTTATTAAAACTTTGTCCTTTTGTTATTTTTTTAACTTTTGTTTGTTTAAAAATTTGTTTCAACACCGTTAATTGTAACACTTATTAAAATTGCCTATAAATCTTGTTTCGTTCAACTTTTATAAAAAAATTTCAATTAATTATCTCAACACAATTTAAACAATTTCATCAGTTCCAAATTCCTTTCTATCTATATTTTCCTTCCGCAAATTCTTCAAACTTTCCAACAATCACTTTCTAGAAAATCTTCCAACACTTTCAAAATATTTTATCAAAACGGTCAATTCACTACAAAATCTACAAACCGAAAAAATTCCCAATTTCAAATCGCTACATCCCCTTTCCACGATTTCCCCTCCCCTAAACAAAAATCCCTATAACCTCCGTATAACCGTATCAATTGTATCATTTCACTTCAATTTCCTACAATCTTCGACGAGTTCACGACAAATTTCATTTTTTCCCCAAAATTCATTCAATTCTCTATATCCATCCCTTCACGAGGAGAGAGGAGATGTTTCCATCATCCTCTTCCATCGTTTCGCCATTTATCCCCAAAATCGAGGAAGAACGATTCCTATTGGGCCAAATTCCCCGCCAAACCGGATCGATAGTCGCTCAGTTTACAATTACGAGGGTATTCTTCCGCGTCACCAGGCCTCGATTTCCGCTCCCTCGATCACCGCACAGACACACACACACGCGCACACGCGCACGTCGATCGACCTGTTATCGTTCGCGAGAGGAGAGATCACAGCCAGTGGGGGACGATCGCGGGGGTGGAGGGAACGCTCGCTCCTGGATGGGAGGATGATCAGATGATCTTTCGACACTTGGCGCGGTGCGTGTATCTCAGCAGTCTGAAGCGCGTCTCCTCCTCGATACGCTTTGCTCGCATTATTTTCACAAGATTGCCGGTGTGTCTTCTTCTTGCCTTTCGAACGTGGAGAACCGGGTCGCGGGGGTTCCGTGTCTCGTGGAATCTGGAAGAGAGAAAATTTTTTCTGGTTGAAGGAAAAGGTGTAACGTGTTCTTTTTTTTTTTTTTTTTTTTTTTTTTTNTTTTTTTTTTTTTTTTTTTTTTTTTTTTTAGTAGATTTTATTCGTGGTATATTTAAATTTATTTATTTTAAAACTCCATCCATAATCTGTTGTTTTTATTACTCGTTTAATGTTGCAACGTTAGTTTGTTTGTTTGGTGAAAGATTTAAGTTGGAAAAGTGGATTTCATTTGGTATTTGAACGTTTCAGTTAAGGTATTAGGAGGATCTCGTTTAATATTTTAAATTTATTTATTTTTAAAATTTCGAAATCTTGTTACGATTATTTGTATTTTTTTTAAAGTTGCGATAACTCTGAATATTGTTAAAGGTTTTAATTAAAGCTTAGTCATTTTTTTTATGTAAAATTGTAAATGAAATATCTAAATAAATGAATTAAAAATAGATGGGATTAAATTGAATATAATATATTCTTTTGTTTCCAATTTTATATTTCTCCTCAAAAAAATAGTTTTCTAAAACCAACCAATCTCCGATAAACCAATTTTTTCCAAATTGATAATCAAATATCAACCTAAAACCAAAAAAACTACAATTTCAACTACATATTGTCACCAGATCGTATTATAAAAAATTCTCCATTACAAAAAAACAAAAAAAAAAAGAAACAAAAGAGGGAAAAAATTATCAAAAATTTCAGAGCGAACGTTTCCACATTCGCATTCGAATTAATTCGAATAAAGTGTTCGAGGTAGCAGCTCGATGTGCACCATGGTCGAAAGATGATTTCGTTCACGCAGCAGCCGGAAACCGCGTTGGCGGTGGACAAGGATCGCTGAAATGCGAATTCACGCGAGGCTTCACTCGACGAATTAAGGCACGCCATTTTCGTTCACCGGTGTACATCCATCTTTTGTCTTTGTTGCCATTTCTCCCTCTCCCTTTCTCCCTTCGAAAAATCGTTCGTGTACAATAATTGGGACCGACAGACGCACGTTCTTTATCTTTTTTACTCGGTAATTGACTGTGGAGAACGGCTCGTTGTCACGTGATTAAAATGGTCGATAGGACAGGGCTCCGTTTAATCGACCGTTTCATTCGAATCGGCAGCGTTGTGTCGTTTCGATTTTATTGATAAATCGAATGAATTCATCGCTTCCACAATCTCTGGAAACTTTTTATTTCTTTTTTTTTTTTCAAATTCATTATCATTTTCAAAAATCAAGCGTGAATGTATTTGAAATTGGATGGCAGGAAGACTCGTCCGATCGAACGTAGACCTGTTCCACTTGCTCGATCATAAAGAATCGATTCGAATTATATTCTCGATGATATCGCCTCTGTAAAAATCTCGCGGTTTATCAAAAATATTTCTATCTATTTTTTAGTAAATTTATGTGTACGAAAGTCCATCGATATTTATGTATATTTTTTATTTTTCATTTACATATGAGAATTATTCGTAAAATACGAAAAATATATAATTTCGTAAAATTATTTCTTATAAAATCAATGGAGAACTATTTAACTAACACAAAAAATTATTCTAATATCCACAATTAATAATCCATAAAAAATTACTCTTCGATCACCTCACAATTATTTCTTACAATTCTTGCATTCTCGATCGAGAATATCTTTTTTTCTTTTTTTGTTACCGAAAATCTGACTGAAAGGATAAAAGATCGGGCGCATTTCCCCAGAATAATTCTTTCCAACAGTCTTTTACATGGATTACGAGTCGATTCACCAGTGCCTCCGGAATTATTCGTTTGGAAATAAAAAACGGGTTTAAAAAATGGACAAAATCCGTGGACAGATCGTTATCCGTGATTCCATTCCTGCTCGTCCAACCTTCGAACGCGTTTCTCATCCCCACGTGTCGATCGTGTCTCCAGATCCAGGTTGCACAAGTGAAACGTGACTGTCGCTCGAGTGTACAAATTTCACGGTAAAAGGTTGAAGGGATGAATCTTAAACATTGGGACGACTGTAAATTTTTTCTTTTTTGTTTCATTGAGAATTCAATCCTCAGGATGAATAATCATAACATATTATTTTCCCTTTCGATCGAAAATTCAATATACAATACAAAATAATCATTACATATTATCGATATATTAATAATAAATTTTTAAACCGTGGAATTTTTTGAATTGGAAGAAATAAAAAAAAAAAGAAAATGGAGATGGGCTTAATACATCGCCAATTAAATTTTTTTCGATGATTTCTGAACAATCCTTTTAATTTATAACGTGACAATTCTCAATCCATTTTTTCTTTAATCACGTGAACACGTGAAATCTTTAGCAATTATCAAAAAAAAAAAATTTTATCACTTTATTGCAAATTAATATCACGAAAGAATAATCCCTCAAATCGACGTTTATTTCCCGCAGGGGGTTAAAAAAAAAAAAGAACCGCAAAGGGCAAACTCCAACGACCCTTCCAACCGTTAAAAGGCCAGCCAAAGCATTTTCTTTCTCTCTCCCTGCAACAATGGAGAGAACGATTGTGAAAGGCGTTCGTCGAAATATGTTAACGCGCGCTTAAAGGATGACTGACACACATACGCACAAGCTTAAACGCACAAGGGCGAGGAAAGAGGCGTTTTGCCGAGTTCACGGCACCGTGAAACCGTTCCACCTATTAATTACCTCTTTTCCACTCCTCACGTGCACGTGGTGAAAGCGTGCGTGGAAGAGGTTTAAACGAATTGTTCTCGGTACGCAAGGGGATGGAAAGGAAGACCTTATTAGGGGGTAGGGGAGGGTTGTGTTTAAATTAAACGTCAGCTACGATACCGGATGCAAATACCTTGAGATATTTCTTGCTTTCTTGGGGAGGAAGGGGAGGAGCCAGCGACACAATGCTTTTTGTACGAGGGGGAGGGAGGGGAGAGGGTGGAATTTGAAACAGCGACGAGGCGAGGGCTTTGATTTAGAGTGGGAGTTTTTGCAGGAGAGATTGCAGAGAATTGATAAAGGAGGGATGCTTTTTTGGTGAGAAAGGGGGGTAAGGAAAGATGGAGGAGATTTAATATTGTTTGTGAATTTTAATTAAGAATTGAAGAGGTTATTATGGTTATTTTGGCATTGATATAATTTTTGATTGTTTTTTTTTTTTAAAAATTTGATACGATAAATTAATAATAATGGAGATTACAGGGATGATTTTGGAACGATTGGAAATATTGATTGTTCTTGTGATTTGAAGAAATGGAAGATTGTTAATTTTAATTTTTTTCTTTCTGAAATGTTATATTATTCGGCAGGGATTGTTCATAAATGTGGAACAATGATTTGTAACGTTTTGACAAGGGTAAATTTTATGCAAGATTATCTTCCATTGTTCGTCTGATTATACAGCACCTAGTACTACTTGAGTAACACGGCTGTATCTTGTTCTATTTGCTTACTTGAGTACACACTTCATCTCGTCCGTCTGACTATGGATGGATCTATTCTACTGCTCTGTCCACAGAAAATCACGTAACTAAGATATTTAACGATTCAATTATTCCGTTCAACTATTCTAGAATATATTTCAATGTTTGTGCGTCGCTTTCTACAAGTTTACTCCAAAATAAATATTCACCTTTATTTAATCAATTAAATTCATAATTAAGAAATAAAAAAATAAATCTTTTAAGTTTATTATTTTTAAAAATTGTTCTATTATTAATATCGAATTGAAAAATCCTACTTTTTAATAATTTATCAAAATTATCGTTATCTAACATTATTAATCAATCAATTAAATTTAAATTTACATTTTTGTAATAAAAATATCTTGGGATATTGGATAATTTTCGAAAATTCTATTTCAATATTTTCGAGAAAAAAATCTACAATATAACGTATTATAGAACAAAGATATGGAATATAATAAATATGAGAAATAGAAATAGGATATAAAAAAAAAAAATATACAGGTTTTACAAGTTTTCCAAAAATTGTTTTATATCTACGTAGTTTGGATATCCTGGTCTGCCTTCAATCTCGATCGATACATCGACAACTGAACATCGAACAAGATGAATATTGATACGATTCTTTCCACGACTAGTATTATTCGACATTAATATAAATGTCGAGGTAAATCCACAGAGTTGGATCGTCGTCGTCGTCGCATTTATCCAGCTACGTCAACATCCGAAATCGTCTGTGATGCACGAAACGAGTAGACATGCTGAATTTCAATATATTCCTCTCGACGAAATCTCGCATCTCTTATATATCGAAATGGCCCTGATCTCGAAAAGTATATCGTATCATTTCGTACAAAAACAGAAAACGGAAAACACAACTTTTACACGATTGATCTTGTTTCAAAACTGAGAATTTTTTTGATTGATTTTAATCAAGTTTTGATTTTTGAATTTCAGATTTGGAATCTTCATTATCTCATTACTGTCTTTGGATCGATTAATTTTAAAATTTTTCCAAAAGAGAGAAATTCTCGAGCCCGATTTAATGGGAACTCGAAGCGGTTAGAGAAGTTTTTAATTAAAATTTGAGTTTTTCCAATTTTTAACATTTTTCATTTTAATGATTTTTTTTTATTTACGCGTTATTCTAACACGATTAAAGTTCCAATCCACCAGAATCAAAACTTTCTTGAGAGAAGAATTTTCTCTCAATTAAAAAATTGAGAATTTCAAGGGGATCAAAATGAAAAGAAAAATAGATTTTATGCAGCAATATCAATCCATTCATTCACGCCAATTAATACAATATAAATAATCGAAATAAATCAATAATCTTAAAAATATGAAAATCTCAAAAAAAAAAAAAAAGGAAAATGATAGATGAAGCTTATTCAGGAGAGGCTTGATTTAATAATCACCTCTGTCCAATATTTCAAGCCCACGCCCACGCTGGGCAAACAATTCCGAATAAGCCGTTCTCAAAATACTCGTAAAAACCACATTCGCTTAATAATTTATTAATTTCATCCATTCGATTTTTCAAACTTCACCCA